ATAGACTGGAGTTGAGATGCCTTAGGGCTTGCCCCACCTGCCCTTGGTGAAGTGGCCTGCACCCTGAGAATAGGGTTTACCCCAGGGCTTCTCTGCAGGGCATCAGTGTTTATCAGATACAATAGCAAGCATTAACAGAACTACAATGTAGCAAGGCTTTGAAGGGTTTTCCTGAATGAATTCATTGAATCCTCCCTGAAACCCCAGGGGAAAGCTCACTTTTACTGTTTCACAGATGAGAGGAGGCACAGAGAACTTGAGTAAAACTACCTGAGGTCACACAGCTAGTAAGTGGATTTGTCATGGTCCTGGAACGTAAACATTTTTCAGGAATAATTTTGTTTTATTTGAATTGAAGTAGCATTTGCCCTTGGTTTAAAAATGCCATCAGTCCCAAAAGCCAGAGTTAACAGATGCTGTCCTGTCCCCAGCCCAGCCCAAGAGTGGTCAGAGCCCAGAACAGAGGACCTTCACCACTGTCTGAAGGGGGAATGGAGGAACCAGGCCCCCTTTCCAGGATGGGAGAGGGCCAGCTGGGGTTGTGCCCCCACCTCTACTCCCCAAAGAGGAGGCTGGGAGGGCTCAACAAGCACCCCACCCACTTGACACATTTCTCCTTTGCCTCCTAGGATGCCAGCTTAAAGCCAATTCTGAACTGGGCTCAGGAGCCTCGGTGAGTGAGAACTGTGGTCTGGTGGGAGGGATGCTTCCAGTCCCCCTGTGGTCACTTCAGGCTCTAATCTGGCTGAGTGCTGACCACACACCTTCTTCTCTGTCCCTCCCCCATGACTGTGGGGTTCCAAGGTGCAGCTGCCAGTGTCATTGTAGCCCAGGGCAGACTCAGCTGGGGGAACAGTGCCTGTGGGGTATGGCTGTGCAGAGCCCACTCTCAGGCCTGATGTGTGGTCCCCATGGGCCGTGGCAAGGCCAGGGTGGCATGGTGGTGCTGCAGCAGTCATTTTGGGTTGCTGTCATCATCAGTTCTCATTCTTGGGGACCCTGTGGCTCGATCACAGATCCACACGCCCTCTGTCCGGTCCCCGGGCCTCTCACAGAGCCCTGGTGGGGTCCAGGTGCCTGCTTGCAGCTTAGCACGTGACCATCACACCTCTAGGGTTTGTTCTTCTGCTGGCGCTGAGGGACACTGCCTGGTTTAGTCAGGAGAGGTGTGCAGCATGGCTTTCTCCATCCCTGTTCCATCCGTAAGAGTTCTGGTGGCCAGAAGCCTAACTGCTGATCCTGAGGTGGGTGGTTTGAATCCACCTACAATTCTGCAGGGGAAAGATGGGCAATCTCCTTCTACATAGCTTGTCATTGTTGGGTGCCGTCTCGTTCGAGTACAGCTAGCTCATGGTGACCCTGCCCAGCAGATCTGCACCCTGTCCTGTCCTGTGCTATCATCAATCTCGGACACAAGCCCACTGTTGCAGTCACTGTCCATCCATCTTGTGGGGGTCTTGCCCTCTTTCGTTGACTTTCCACCTTTCCAAGCATGATGTCCCTTTCCAAAGAATAGTCTCTCCTAGCAACATCCCCAAAATAAGGGAGGCAAAGCTTCATGTCTGTGCAATTTATGCAGCATCAGAGCCTGCTCTGGCCCAATTCCTACCCGACAGCAATTAGTCTGAGATTTGGGTTTGGTTCAGACTTTATGGTGAGCATATAATCCCAGAAGCCAGACTAGATGAAGAAGAACGAGGGCTCAGGATCCCAGAAAAGACCAACAGACTGCTTTATGCAGATAATCTAGCTGCTCAAAGGGAAGAAGTTTTTCAGCTTTCTCTGGAGAAGATAAAAGACAATAAACAGCCTTCAATACTAATTTCAACATCAAGAAGGCAAAAATCACCACACCTGGACCAATTGACAACTTCATGATGCGTGGAAAACGATTGACATTGTCAATGATTTTACTTGGATCTATAGTCAAAACCTATGGAAAAAAAAACCAACACAATAGCAGCAGTCAGCAAATCAGAAGAGGTGTTGCATTGGGCAGATCCGCGGAGAAGGACCTCCTTAAAGTGCCAGGGAGTGAAGATGTCCGTTCAAAGACTGAAGTGCACGGGGAAGAGGGAAAGGAAATGGGGCAGAGAGAGATCCAGGGATCTGTAGGCCGGGATGGTGGGTGGAGTTTAATGGTAATTTTATAAAACACAATGAATGGGAGTGACCGCATGTTTTGCTCTAAAAAAGAAAAAAAAAAAAAAAGATTCATGTGCACCTGACCCCAGCCACGGTGTTTCTGGTTGCCTAACCCCAGCCGTGGTGTTTCTGGTTGCCTCACCCCAGCCATGGTGTTTCTGGTTGCCTGACCCCAACCATGGTGTTTTCCAGTTGCCTCACCCCAGCCGTGGTGTTTCTGGTTGACTGACCCCAGCCGTGGTGTTTTCCATTGCCTGACCCCAGCCGTGGTGTTTTTAGTTGCTTCCTACACATCTGAAAGTTGGACAGCAAGTAAGGAAGACTGGTGAAGAGCAGATACCTTGAACTATGCTGGATACTGGACTATTGCATGTGCTCCCAGAGAAGAAATGGGCTGCCTGTAAGACGTGCAGCGAGGGGTTCCTCAGAGACGTGTGGGGAACTTTGAGCATGTGTCAGGAGGGCCCGTTCTTCATCTGGAAGAAGACCTCATACTGGGAATATGGAGTGTCCGGGAAAGAGGAAGGAACACGCACACACACACACCCCCAGCAAGGGATTGATACCGTGACTACACACTGTCAAGGTGGTGCAGGATCAGACCAGTTTCCTTCTGTTCACTGGGTCACTGAGAGTCAGTCAGCCAGCCTACCAGCATCTAACAGCAGGTGGGGGAGAGGCCCCCAGACCTCTCATGTGGTCTCCTCGGCCTCCTCATGCTGGAGTCCAGGAAGGGGGCTGTCCAGACACTTTCCGGGCCCACAGTAGCTGGGGTTCATGCAGCCTCTTGGAAATGACTTCCGGCCAGGAAGGCGGCTGTCTGATGGTCTAAGGAAATCCCCACTCCCTGCGGTAATGAGCAGGGATCCCAGGCCATTTTCAAAACAGGAACTGCTGGCTCATTGCCCGTTCCATTGGTGCCAGGAAATACTCACGCACACCCCCATCTGTGCCTGGCCTTCCCACCTAGGTGTGATCCCCAAGCTGGGTCAGGTGGGTCACCCTCTGCTCAGGCTTGCCTTCCAAGTCACCTTAGGCCTTTGTCCAGGAAGTAGGGGTGAGCCTGTGGGCCCCAGCTCTCCCCACTGGAGCCTCAGGGCAGCTGTTGGAAGGAGGATCCTGAATGGAGCTGACAGGTCCTCCTTGACCACACCTGGTATTAAGTGATCTGGGAACTGGAGAAGGTAGAGGACACAGCTGCCACTGGAGGCATAGGGGACTCCCTAGAGGTGAAAGGCTCTCCCGTAGTTGGTTGTGGTGTTGGGTGAGGAAGGCTGGGGCCCATGCCTTCTCAGGATCTATCCAGTACCTGCCTCTGTCCCCAGGCCCAGCAGTCTGGTCCACCCCGCAGCTTGGTTCCAGTGCCTGCCCCACCCCCGCATAGCCCCGCCCTCCTGCTTCCTCCCTGGGCCCAGGGAACATTCCATTCATTCCGGCTCACCACGGCCAGAGCCCAGAGCTGAAGCCTCAGAGAGGGGGCCCAGTGAGGAGGTGGCTCAGGGAGGAGGCTCTGCCCCCCAAGTAACGCAGGACTCCGGTGAGTGTGGCTTGTGGGGGCGCTGGGGCTGGTGGCTCAGAGGTGTGGGCCTTCTAGGCTGTTGCCCAGCCCCCACTGGCACCACAGTGGACTTTGTCCTGGCCATGGAGTACCCAGCACAGGGAAGTGCCCCTGGGCCCCAGCCTGGTCTCCTGTGCCTCAGACACCCGTGAGGTAGGGGGGGAGGGACGTGCAGGAGGCCCTGTGGCCCCAGACCCTGCCTGTTCTGGAGTGGCGGAGGGAGGCTGCTCTGCCTAGTGCTCCAGACTTCTTGGTTCCAGTGTGACCCGCCATGCTCCTCCAGAAGCTGAGGCCCAGGAGGAGGGAAGCCTGGGGCTCAGGGTTTATCTAGTCTTCCCCATCTTGGTGAGGGTCGTCCTGTTCTCACAGTGACCTTGGACACCAACCAGCCTGCACAACAGGGTGGGTGCAAAGGCAGCTGGGGGTTGCTCTCGGCAGCAGCAGCAAAGCACTGTTGTCCTGAGCAGAGGCCACAGGGGGGCCCGCAGGCACAGAGCCTGGTTGGGTGCTCTGCTCTGCGCTCTTCTTTGCTTTGTTCTATGTGGGATGGTACTTTCCAAGTTTGAGGAAGCTGGGAGAGTCTGAACAGAGGGATGTAGGAAGGACATGGAGGACAACCAGGAGGCTCCTGGAAGCCTGGGCACGAAAGGGAACAGGTTGAGGGGAGAGTCACAGGGTCCCCAGGAGCAGGCCAGCCTGTCCTTTGTGGGAGAAGCCTGAAGGAGGAGGGGCAGCATGGAGGAGGGAGGGGGGGAGGTCCCAGCCAGGATGGGATAGACCATTGTCTGGAGAGTGGAAGGCAGGTGAGGATGTCCAGGCTGGGGAGGAGAACCACAGTGTTGGGGGGCCTCCTGGCCCAGCCTCATCCTTAGTGGCCCCCTACTTAACGCTCGTCCAGACATAGGCACACATGCAGACAAGACTGAGCGTGAGTCACAGCATAGGTCTCCCTAGAACATCCATGGGTCCCATCCCATCCTGTGTGGCCATGGCCAGTGGGGATGCTGAGGTCTGGTGGATAGCTAGAACTGGGAGCCTGTGCTCGGCCTCCTCTGACCCCAGCACCCTCTGAGCTGCCCTTTCACTTTCCTCTCTGCCGTGTGGCCCACCTGCACCCACGTCCAGACTGTTGGCTTGTGTCAGGGAAGGGGGTTCTGGGAAGTGATTAGGAGGCATCCTGAAGGGGAGTGATTCTTGGGGGCTCAGTGTCTCTCCATCCTGTCCTGTGTCTGGAGAGGCCCTTGGCTCTTGGAGGGTGGACCTTCTGATGCTCCTTTCCTCCCACAGGTCCCGGGGGATGGCGCTGTGGCTCTGGACCCTGGTGGTCCTGGGCCTGACGGGCTCCGGTGCAGGCCTGCGGACACGCAAGCTCGAGTTCTTCCTCAGTGAGACAGAACTGAACCACCTGGTAGTGGACAACGGGACAGGCGGCGTGTATGTGGGGGCAGTGAACAACCTCTACCAGCTGACCTCTGACCTGCAGCTGGTGCAACAGGAGGTCACAGGCCCGGCCCTGGACAACAAGAAGTGCACGCCGCCCATCGAGAAGAGCCAGTGCCACGAGGCCGTGCCCACCAACAACGTGAACCAGCTGCTGCTGCTGGACCCACCTGGGGGCCGTGTGGTTGAATGCGGCAGCCTCTTCAAAGGCATCTGTGCCCTTCGGTCTCTCAGCAACATCTCCACACGCCTCTTCTACGAGGACAGCAGCGGCGAGAAGTCCTTCGTGGCCAGCAACGACGAGTCTGTGGCCACCGTGGGACTGGTGAGTGCCACAGTGCCTGGCGGCGAGCGTGTCCTCTTCGTGGGCAAAGGCAACGGGCCACACGACAATGGCATCATCGTCAGCACCCGCCTGCTCGACCGAGTTGAGGGCAGGGAGGCCTTCGAGGCCTGCACGGACCATGCCACCTACAAGGCCGGGTACCTGTCCACCAACACGCAGCAGTTTGTGACCGCCTTTGAGGATGGCCGCTATGTTTTCTTTGTTTTCAACCAGCAAGACAAGCACCCGGCCCGGAACCGCACGCTGCTGGCCCGCATGTGCAAACAGGATCCCTTCTACTACTCCTACCTGGAGATGGACTTGGAGTGCCAGGAGCCTGGTGCCCAGGCCTTTGCCACCTGCCTGGCGGCCTCCGTGGACCCAGGCCGGACACTCTATGCGGTCTTCAGCAAGGACAGCAGGGGCGGAGGGGGCGGAGGCCTCCAGAGTGGCCTCTGCTTGTTCCCACTGGACGAGATCCACGCCAAGATGGAGGCCATCCGCAATGCCTGCTACACGGGCACCCGGGAGGCCGGTCGTAGCACCTTCTACAAAGCCTTCCAGGGCGAGATCCAGTGTGGGGGCCACGCACCGGTAGGTGCCTACACGCTGGAGTCTAGGGGGGTCCGCATGGCGTCCATGCCCACCTGCACGGGACCACCTCCCCTGGGGCGGCGGCTGCTTCAGGACTCGCCCCATAGGGTGGGTGCTTTCCTGGGAATACATCCCCTGGGGTACCTGCTTCTCCCAGAGCTCACCCCATGGGGCGGCTGCTTCTCCACAGCCCTCTTTTGTGGCCCCAGCTGCATGTGGGCATTTGGACTGGCGTGGGCGGGCCTGGGTGCCCAGCTCTGACCCTCCCACGGGTTCGGGTCCGCAGGGCGCCAGTGAGAGCTTTCCCTGTGGTTCAGAGCACCTGCCCTACCCACTGGGCAGCCGTGAAGGCCTCCAGGCCATGGCCGTGCTACAGAGGAGTGGCCTGAACCTGACCGCAGTCACAGTGACCTCTGAGGAAGGACACATCATCGCTTTCCTGGGCACCTCAGATGGCAGAATCCTGAAAGTGAGGCTGGAGCTGGGTAAGCCGGGGGAAGGTTCCTGAAGGCAGCCTGTCTGAGCCCCGAGGCCCTCACGTTCTCCCTGTGCCAGGTGTATCTCACCCCGGATGGTACCTCCGAGTACGGCTCCCTCTTGGTGGAGATCAACAGGAGGATCAAGCGGGACCTGGTTCTGTCCCCAGACCGAACGTCTCTGTATGCAATGACTCAGGACAAGGTGGGCTGGGGGCTGCAGGGCTCAGCCTCTTCCCCTGGGGGAACCTCAGGTGCCCCTTCTTTCTATCCCCCTGAAATTGGGGTTCACCTGGCTTACCTCTGCCTCAGTCCGAGGAAGGGTTCTGGGTCAGTACTGTCATGGGTATGTGTGTCCCTGGGGATGGCTGGTCGAGGGGAGGCACTCTGCAGAGTGGGCAAAGATGGGCCAGGACCCCCAGTCTGGCCCCCTGGGCTCTGACCAGCAGCTGCAAGGAGCCTCTGATGTCCCATCCAGGTGTTCCGGCTGCCCGTGCAGGAGTGTCTCAGCTACCTCACGTGCGCCCAGTGTCGCGACTCACAAGACCCCTACTGTGGCTGGTGTGTCGTCGAGGGCCGGTGAGTGGTAGCACGCACGGACCTGGCCCCGGTGCCCAAGGGACACCAAGGCTGAGGCTGTCCCCTCCCCTGCACAGGTGCACCAGGAAGGCTATGTGCTCCAGGGCCAATGAGACCGGCCACTGGCTGTGGAGCCGGGAGAACTCCTGCGTGACCATCACCAGTGCTCAGCCACAGAACATGAGCCGACGGGCCCAGGGGGAGGTGCGCTGGGGCGGGGAGGGTCTCAGGTGACCCAAGGGGGCCTGGCAGATCAGGAGAAGGAGTCCACCCTGCCCCAGTTGCTAGCCAGTCACTTAACAGGGCGGGTGACCTGTGATCGTGGTGTGTCCTTTTTGGTCCCGTGACCACGACAGAGCCAGGTCTTGTCTGTCCTAAATGGTGTTGGAGTGACATGCACCGGGTCCTCCTCCAGGTACAGCTGACAGTCCATCCTCTACCCACCCTGAGAGGGGACGATCAACTGCTCTGCCTCTTTGGGGACTCACCTGCTCACCCCGCCCATGTGGAAGGCAACTTTATCCGGTGCACCTCCCCCAGCATCATCCCCAGCACCCCACCAGGGCAAGGTGAGTGTCCTTCCTGCCCTGCACTGGACTTGGCCTCTTTCCTTCACCCCGTGGAGTCCATGCGAGTGGGTGCCAATGGCTGAGGCAGGTGGCCTGCACAGGGATCCCTCCCGTGCACTGACCTTCCACTGTCTGCTCACCACCTGGTACCAGGCAGGACACTGTCTCTGTGGTACCCTCCTATGGCCTGAGATGCCTGTCCCAGGAGGGTCTAAATGTGTGGTAAGCTCCTGCAGTGACGTGGATAGAGTCCTGGCAGGTCTTGGTCCCAGACACACAGGAGTCTGGTCTCTCCATGCCCGTAGAGATTGAGAGACTGGCAGCCCAGAACCCCAGGGAGAAACAGGAGCCTCACCTGACACACTGAGAACTGATAGGCAGGGCAGGCGGGAGGCCAGAGGTGTCCAGGGGATAGAGAGCTATTGAGCGGGGGCAGAGCTGATGGCGCGGACACGGGGATGGGGGGCAGAGCTGATGATGGGGGACAGAGCTGATGGTGGGCCATAGGCTATGGGGAGCAGAGCTGATAGGGATACAGGGTGTCAGGGAGATGGAGGTGATGGTGGGGTCCCCCAGGGCCAGAGAGGAGGAATACCAAGAAGTCTTGCCTTCTGACCCCTGCGCCAGCCGCCCACAAGGGATTGTCTAGGGCACCCTGTTTTGATGCCAGCCCCCCACTACCCTGCCGCCCTCAGATCACGTAACTGTGAGCATCCAACTGCTGCTTCAACAAAACAACATCTTCCTCACCTCCCATCTCTACCCTTTCTACGACTGTCGGGAAGCCATGCACCTGGTGGAGAACCTGCCGTGGGTACCCCTGCCCTGCCACCCCCGGAGAGCCCCACACCTGTGCCCCAGCCCTATCTCAGGAACCCCTCATACCACCCATGTCCCGAGTGCCCTGCAACCTCCTCCTCGGTGCCGCCCCCTAGCCCTAGGACCCTTCGTGCCCTGTCCTGCAGGTGTATCTCCTGCACCAGCAACCGCTGGACCTGCCAGTGGGACCTGCAATACCACGAGTGCCGGGAGGCCTCGCCCAACCCTGAGGAAGGCATCGTGCGGGCCCACATGGTGAGCCTCAGGGCCACAGGGCTGGGCAGTCAGCCTCTGCGGCTGGAGCTCATCCGCCTCCCTGTTGCCAGGAGGAGAACTGCCCCCAGTTCCTGAACCCCAGCCCCCTGGTCATCCCCATGAATCATGAGACAGATGTGACTTTTCAGGGCCAGAACCTGGACACAGTGAAGGTGAGTAAGAGTAGCTCCCTGTGGGATTACCTTACCTCGAGACTGAAGCAGGGGTGTCTGGCCTGTTCCCAGCGCAGTCACCGCAGGAGCATTCAGGCACTTAGAGACAGAAGAGAGAGGGAAGGGTGCTCACGCCTCAGGACAGAGCCACTCAGGGATGGGGATGGGGCCCTTGGTGGGTTCAGATGGGGCCAAGTTCCCAGGGGCTCATAGGCTGAAGTGGGCAGAGGGGAGTGGTCCGGGCAGGTGTCCAGTCCGTGTCTCCTCCGCAGAGCACCTCCCTGTATGTGGGCAGTGAACTGCTCAAGTTCAAGGAGTTGGTGAGCGTGCAGGAGCCAGGTCGCTTTTCCTTCCGGACCCCCAAGGTACACCTCCCCCTTGGCGGGGTGGGGAGCACGCTGCAGGGGACCTTAGCCGCTCTGGAGCTAAGCTGAGTGGGCTTAGTGTTTCTGGTCCTCTGCCCAGTGCTCGTTCTGTCCTGCTGTCACACAGCGTCACCCTTGGGGACCTGTCTGCTGCCCCAGTCTGGTTCCCCAATTGGGTGGGCTGTAAGCACAGGGTGTCTGCACCTCTGCCCCTATTAGCTGTCCCATGACACCAACGAGACACTGCCTCTGCACCTGTACGTCAAGTCCTACGACAAGAATATCGACAGTAAACTCAGAGGTGCGGCCTGCTTGGCTTTGGGTGGTGTGGGCAAGGCCTCACCGGGCTGGAAGGGTGGGGCTGAGGTAGTTCTCTGACTCTCCCTTCTCTCCTTGTCCAGTGACCCTGTACAATTGCTCCTTTGGTCGCAGCGACTGCAGCTTGTGCCTGGCTGCTGACCCCGCCTACAGGTGTGTGTGGTGCGGCGGACAAAACAAATGCGTGTACCAGGCCCTGTGCAACAACGCCACCTCCGAGTGCCCACCGCCTGTCATTGCTAGGGTGAGCTGCCTGTGCCGTGTGGGGTGGGGGGGCCTCCTGGCCAAGCTTCTGCCCTGCAGCGTGCTCCGCAACCCTGCCTCACATACCTTACCTGCACCCATGTGTGCTGCAACCCCCGTGGGCCCCCCCAACTCCCCTGTATGCCCTGTGAATTCCCACCGGCCCACTTAAACCCGTGTGCCCAGCAAACCCTCACCTGCTCCATAGCCCTGCTCGCATGCCCCACCTGCCCCCACCAGGTTCCCTTCACTGCGTGTGCCCAGTGAGCCCAATTTACTCCCCTGCATCCCTGTGTACCCCCACTGGCTCCGCAGCTTGTCCCCGGCCCCCAGGAACCCACCTCACCCCACAGCCCTGTCCCACAATCACCCACCCTCAGCCCCTCCCAGTGAACACTCACCAATTCGAGATTTGCTCAGTGGCCCTGCTGGTTACAGATCCAGCCACAGACAGGCCCTCTGGCAGGGGGCATTCGCGTCACCATTTTTGGGTCGAACCTGGGCGTCAAGGCTGATGACGTGAGGAGGGTGACTGTGGCAGGCCAGAACTGCACCTTCCAGCCAGAGCTGTACTCCGTCTCCACCCAGTAAGCAGCCACAGTTCATGGGGCCATCTGGGCAGCCCCTGCCCCTGGGGTGCTGGGGGCTGGGTGACAAGACTGCTGGGAAACTGGCCTCAGTTGTGCGCGGTTTACTACTTTCAGAATGTGAGCATGGATGGACCAGCATGGTGGAGATC